TAGTTGAGCCACGAAAGCAAGACACGTTGAGAAGCAAAGGGGGTTGTCATTCGAGTTGTGGAAGTTCGTCCTGTTGCTGCTCGCCCGTCCCTGCTTCGCTGCTCGTCAACAGGTAAATTCCCCTGCTTCTTACTGTTTCTGCGTTTTTTTTTTGTGGTTTCAAAACTGGTTTGTCGCTGTTCTGGTATTCGGAGTGTGCTGTTAATTAATTCGAATGTCTTTCGTTTGTTTTGGATCAAAATGTGTAAAAATTTTCAAATGAGAGTATATATGGCTTGTTTGCTGGGAATATAGGATGTTTTATCTGTTGGGTTTGGGTCCGAGATTGCGAGGTGTCGTGTGTTATGCCTCTATTCTATTATGTACGCTCGTTCTGCTCCATGTTGAGTTCATCTATGGCATGTCGTTTTTATAGTTTGGTATTCGTTGTGTCCTGCTTCCCTTTGTCATGGCTTCGGTTTTATTGAACTAGTCGAAGCCTGTTCTGTTTTCCGTAGCTCAATAATGTGATGTTGTGTTTTTTTTGTTTCCTCAAGGTCGCTAGTAATGCTCAAGTTTCGTAAAGTCGTTAATGATGCACATATCTTATTTCTTTGATGTAATGGTTATCGTGTTTTCTATTTGAGAAAGAAATGACAATAAAAACCGAGTGAGCTTCTAGTTAGTCAGCATGTTCTTGATTTTCTGATGTTCTCCTTTTATCTCGTACTAGTATGGCTTCGCTTCGCGACCTCCCGTCTGGATCTTGTTTTGATAATTGCTAGAATGACTTATTCTTGAGTCTTCATTTGAAGGAAATCCTAGTTTCTAGTTGCTTAGTCTAAGTCTTTGTATGGCATAAAGTAGTTTTCTATTAGTATTTATTTTACATTGTTTAGGTGGTGAAAATGTACATACACAGCATCATTGGATGTTTTCATGATCATGCTCATCACTTGTTCGAGATTAGTTTTGACCATTCTCTAGTTTGGATTATCTTTTTACTTCGACAGTATATGCATTTATCGTTTATCTCCTATGGCTTTTCTTTGTTTTGAGGTCCAAAGGATATCACCTTAGTGCTTGGTTTTCCTTCAAAACTAAATTGGTTATTGATTATTGTTAAATGATTTGTAAAGTTGCTTCAATTCATAGCTTGTTCCGTTGCTACGTTGCCTTATGCACTAATTCATGTCGTTTGCTTGCATGTGAAACCTTCCTCGAGTCCATTTTTGGATTCCATTCGGGAGAGCCATAAAGGCTCGAAAATTCTTTCCATCGAGTCAACTCGCCAAGTCGAGAATCGCGTAAAAAGAGTGAAGAATTGAAGAAGTTGGAAGAAAAGAGACGGAAAGACTTTTTTTTTATATTGTATTTTTATTTTGTAACGGGCATAAGCCCTTATCGCTTTACTTTCTCATATTTTATTTGGTATGTTTAGATTAGCACAGGTACAAAATGGGTCAAATACCCAAAAGCGGCTGGGTCCAATTTCAGTCAAGGCGAACAACACCCGAAACTTGGACCCGAATCTCTCTCCCTCTCTCTCTCTCTCCTTACTATTTGTTTATGTTGTTTACTTGAATGTCGTTAGTTAGGGTTAGAAAACTCCAAACCTCTTCAAAACGTCTATCTATTTTATCAAAACTTAAAACTAAAACGGAATCTCAAAACGATGACATTTCAAACTTGTAAATTTATCTAGATAAAAACTTTAAATTCAAACTTCGAAACAGTTTCGTAAAATTGCAAGATAAGCAATAAATATTTCAAAGCTTGAAGATTCGCTTAAGTAAATTGCTAAATAAGTTCAATAAACAAAAGAAGACGCAAATTTTAGAATAAAAAATAGTCAAGTAGTTAATCGCCGGAAAACCGTATTAAACGGAGCGTCTTAGGTGCTTTCAACACCTTCCTAAGACGCTAATATGAATCCCGAACCCCCTTTTATAATTTCCTAACAATTTTTCCGTTTTAAGTTGTTTGGAAAATAAGTTTTCTTAATTTTCTCAAAATTAAGTGGCGACTCCTAAAAGTCGAAAATATCTCTTAAAATAAAACAAATTCTTTTCGAGAATATTTTTTCGATAAAACACCCTCTGCTTGAGTATAACAAATCAAAGTAAGTGAAAATATAAACGACACTGAAAAAAACATAGCAACTAAAATGGAAATCGTAACAATAACAAAATAATGCAATAACTGAAACACCATAAATAGCAAATGGTGATAGGAAATAAAAAAGAAGACACTACAAGAATAAAACTAACGCTAGGGTGGAACCACCAAACCTAACAAGTCGATAAACAAGACAACACTTCACTACCTACTAGCCTTCTACTCTAACTTGTGACCTCCACACCCTCCTATTTAAGGTCATGTCCTCGATAAGTTGAAGTTTTGTTGTGTCCGTCTAATCACCTCTTCTCAGTACTTTTTCGACCTATCTCTATCCCTCTTTGACCGTACTCACTATATTCAACCTCTCTCACCTCCTCAATGGAGCATCTATGTATCTAATCTTCACATGCCCAAACATGTTAATTTATGCAAGAGTAAATTTTACCTAGTCATTCAACTTTTAATTATCACATAAATATCACATAGAAAAAGGGGGAAATATGTATTATCCTTCGTATTATATTGTATTTTTACAACAATTTTTTTCACACATTAAAGGTGCATATTAAATGTAAGGTACAATACATAAACATGACCGTTAGCTTGGCTTCAGCGAACAATTATGTCCTCCAACTTTGAGTGTCTACTTATGCACACTCAAAGTTAAAGGTCACAGTTGCCAGCTGACGTCAAGTTACGGGTCATGTTTATGTTTTATAAATTTAGGAGAAAATACATAGAAACCCCCCTAAACTATTACCCTTTTTTGAAAAAGACACCTAAACTTTGTGAGATCCTAATAAACCCCTAAAGTAGTTTAAATTGAAAAACCCTATCCCGACATTTAAGAAATAGAGTGTATATAACTCGCCTGAAGGGCGTGAAAACTAAAATAAAATTAAACCTTTTATTTTCAATACTTTTCTTTTAAAATGGGGAAAAGGGTCTGATATACCCCTTAACTTTGTCATTTGGAGCTAATATACCCCTCGTTATAAAAGTGGCTTATATATGCCCTTACCGTTATACAAACGGCTCACATATACCCCTGCCATTACAACATGACTCACATATACCCTTCATTTAACGGAAGTTAAAAAATTAGTTTTAAATTTATATTTATTACTTCTAATTTTTTTTAAAAAATTATTTAGGGGTATATATGATTCTTCTATCAAAATTCAAGGTATATTTTAATTTTTTTCATACATAAATTATTTTTTGACTTCTTTAATTATAATTATTTGAGTTTCTTATTCTTATTTTATTTTTTTGTTTCATTCCTTAGTTTAAAGAGAAAAAAATTAAACTATTTTTTTGTGTGTATTGTAATTTAATTTCGTATTCGAAGAAAGAATTTGGTCATCTACAATATGTTTTTACAAGAATATTAGTGAAACATAAATAAATTTGATTATCAAAATAATAATTATAAATTAGTCATTGAAAAAAAAATTAAAAGAATATGTTTGACGAGGATTAAATTTACTCATATGGGATTATATTTTTTAGAAAAAAATAATAAAAATTTAGATCAAATTTTTTTTTCATTTCCGTTAGAAGAAAAGGGTATATGTGAGTCATTTGTTTACAAGTAGGGGCATATATGAGTCACTTTTATAACGAGGGGTATATCACCTCTAAATCACAAAGTTGAGGGGTATATCAAACCCTTTTCCCTTTAAAATATAAAAGAAATATTTTAGAGTTAAATTTTTATGTTTTCTTTCTTTTTCTTAAGTGCTTCACCATTGAAAGAGATGGCAATGACTTTTAGGATTTCTTTTCTCTTTTTATTCTTTCTTTTCATTCTCTTTCAATGGCAACTAGTTGATTTCCTCTGCGATAGCAGCGACGACAATTTTTCCTTTCATCCTCAGATTTTTTTTCGTCCTTCTTGGCCGACGGAAATCTTCTCATCCTTTTTGACCGGCGAGGTCATAAGAAGCGCACGAAGATGATGGCAATGTTAAAAGAAAGAAGTATTGGTGTTATTTCCATTGACTCCTAATCAATTACGGGGCTAAAATCGTCCTCAAACCAAGCAAAATTATCCCATCCAAGCTCGGAGAGAGAATTTCCATTTTGTTGATACAACCGTGCTGATTTGCAAAAATCAAAGGCAAAGTACACAAAATAATATTTTGATAGAGATTTGAATTTAAGAAAAAAATAATTTGCCAGCTGATTTGATTTTCCAATTTTAATCTTGATTTGATAAAAAATAAAGTGAAAATAGTGCATAGCACGGCACTAATGGTGAATTGAAAACGGAAAAGAAAATAAAGAATTAAAATTTTAAAAAAAATGCAAATAAAAACAAAAATAACCAGAAGTATATAAAATTGACACATGTAAAGTAACAATTGGTGTGTGCTTTCACCTTCTTTCTTATAAGTGGGTTTCAATGGAAAATGAGGTATTTATATTACTTTCGAATTGTTTAGTGGGGTATTAGGATTCTTGTAAAGTTTGAGCGTCATTTTAAAAGAAGTGTTATAGTTATATGGGGTAATTATGCATTTTCTCTAAATTTAGTTTTATCTTTTGTTATATATATGTGTAAGCTTTCTATTTATAAGTTGATGAACAAGTTAGGATCTTATTATGACTTTCTTTTTTTGGAGCAATGTATAAATAGATTGATCGGTGACGTGTTTTTAGAGATTTTAGCATCATATTAATGTCACACCAAACAACTCCATAATCACCTAAGAATATCACTGACATGATCAGAGTTAATGACAAAGGAACAAATGTCATAAATGGATCGGAATTAACCAAAGAAATACATGTAAATATAAGTTTTAAGCACAGGTGTTCATGCTATCACATAAACTTAATGCATATAAGGATCTTAAACATGGTAATCTTATCAAAAGATGTTATAGAGAACACACCTGAAGCAGACGACAATATCACATATAGAGAAGCAGAAGAGTTAACTGAAAAATCAACCTCCTCGGGTACTTATCCCACACTTTGCAGGCACGAGTAGTGCACTTTACCTTCTCCTAACGACCCATCAGCTTCCATCTCTGTGGCCTGAAAAGTGATGTGCTCTTACTAACTTGCTTCAATGTACTCAACAGGTGTACACTAAGGCATTTCATGCATAGAAATAGATTCTTACAGCTTTCAGGCCTAAAGATTGAGGATGTGTTGTAGCACTGTGCTTTTTATAAAGTCAGCTGAAAATATTGTTCTCAGTGTTAGCAGAACATGGTGGTTCAAAAGCAGTGGAAATCAGATAAACAAGTTACAAAGATAAGGTATTTACTCAAATAAACATGTCACCTGAAGTGCACCCTAGAGCAAGTAGGATGAGGAGTGGCTTTTTCTTCTTTTTTCTACTCCGTTCAGGTTCACTAATACCTTGATCCATCTTCTTTCTGTTGCAAATTCTCCTTCACTAGGCACCTTAAAATTAAAGAATGGAGAAATTCAGTTACCTATAATACCCATCCACCTTAAAATAGAAGAACACGAAAACATTTATACTAAAACTCCACAAGGCCAACAATGTTATAAACGAGTCAAACACGAAGATGATACCAAAGCACATAGAATCCGAAAAAGAAATGAACTATTTTGACTGTACAGAATATGAACATTTTACCACATATAGAAAATGTGACCGTTATATACTATGATGCTCCCAACTACAGCATCAGCTGAAGATATGCCTGCAAGTTGGCTGCAGTATTATGCATACACACTTAAATATTAGGCTTCTTCGTTCTGCTAATTCGTGAAGATTCAGCTACTCCTCAATGTCAATTTCCTTAATAAACAGTGCATTTCTTTTGTGACAGATATGCTATTACATCATGTAATGAAGTGAAATATGCTGATAGTCCAAAACAAAACAGGCAACCATAGCTGATACTTGCACTTTGATATATCATGTCCTTACTTTATAGAAAAAGTTATCATTTTTACATGGTAGATATCCTCAGTCTCTTCAGAAGCCCATTAGTACTTCGACAAGTCAATAACTCCACAACAAAAAACCTGGACATCATACATTCAGGCACAAATGGCTAAATATACCGTATCCATATTAGATTGTTCCATTTTCCTACGCCATTTTTCAAATGTGATATAAATATCATGTGCTCTGTTCACTAAAACATCACCTGTGTGAGCCTGTTCACATTGCTAGTCCCATGCCCGGATAAAGGAAGATTGCCGACGGTCGATCAAAACAATCTCTCTACCCGATAAATATAGGGGTAAGGCTGCGGACATATTATCAGACCCCAGTTGTAGGATTACACTAGATTCTAACATTACCAATTGGTGCAGTAACATTAAGGAACTCTGTCTTTCCTCTTCCAAACAGTTTAGCAGTTGTCTACTCCTTCATCCCAATTTGTAGTCTAAAAACAAGTCTTAGACATTTGCATGGCTATATATCATTTTATTAAAAGATAAAAGAGAAACTTCAAAGTTTAAGCTATTTTAAACTGAAAGAGAACCAAATGATCTGAACAATAAGTGGATGCTGCTGTTCCGCAAAAACAAAGAAATCAAAAATTGACTGTAAAACAATAAAATAAGGTGATATAAGGCACATAGCAAGATGAAAAATCGAAGGAAATTGAGAATTGAAACCATAGTCATTGTGCGGTGAGATCAGTTGGAGAAGCCTCAACCTCAACCATGTCGATCATACTAGGATTCCGGCAGCTATGAACAGTGACGGAAGTTGATCGACGAGTAGATGGGGGCGAACTCGTCGGCCTCCGGGGAATTCACGCGTTCGTTTGTCTTCTTATTTAGGCTCTTTGCTTGATTTTTTTTTATCGGTAAAGAGGAAGAGTGAGTACAATCGGGCACCGGGTTTAGCCCATTTGTTTTACTTTTTCTATTTTTTCATTTTGTTTATTCCGTATTCAAAATTTATATTATAGTTCGATTAAATTTGAATCACGCATTATAGGATTCATTCAATGATGGTGCTTGCACTGCAACTAATGTTGGTCGCATTTATATTATAATTCGATTAAATTTAAATCACGCATTGTAAGATTCATTCAATGGTGATACTTGCACTACAACCTACGTTGGTGGTTGCCTTGGTTGTTACCACCTGCATTACCCAAAAGTACTACCAATTTAGAGAAAAATATATTTAGAAATACTTACTCACATATTTGACATTGGAAATCAGTTTAGAAAAAATACATCTAAAATTTATTGACCTAACACAAACTAATTCTCGATAAGAAGTAGTACATTTTAACAAAGCAATTTTGAAATTGGGAAAAGCTGACTTAAGAAGCAAAGCTAAGGCTAAACTCTCTCGAGCACAACAATATCAAACATAACATTCAAAATCCTTTGATATTCAACAGCACAAATTCAAATCCCCAAATATAGCAGAGCACCCATCCAAAAACTATTCACATAAAATTTCTAAAGAAGTTAGCAAGGCATGAACAAGCCAAGACATGATAAAATAAGATTACATCAACATCTGCAACCATTGCAGACATATTCCTTCTCTTCTATGAAAACATTCAACTTCAGCGGAGCACTGGAGTTAACGACATCTCTTGGAACCACAAGGAATTTTTTCAAAGGACTGCTTTCTGACCAGTTTGGCATGCTCTCTGCAACAGATTCTAGTTTAAAAGAGCTTTCCCCGTCTGTTACTACAAGCTTGTACGAGAATCTTCTCTTCTGCCTAGCTGGTCCAACACAGATAATGTTGAAAGCACTTCCAACACGGTCGCTAGCATGGTTGATGATAAAAAGTATACCTTCTGTCCTCATTTGAAGAATTTTGTAACTTTGATCTTTTTCTATATGAATTGGATGGACAGCATTGAAAAAAATGTGCTCTGCCGAAGAAGCATGTTTGTCCCTAAAATGTGCATATACGTTTGTTGAGGTACCTAAGAAGTCACAGCCATGGGAAGGACAGAAACAAGGCACATAGATGCATGCATTTTCATGGTCAGTTTTCTTACTATAACTCAGGATCTCCTTGCAACCATACATTTTGTTCACGCATGAGACCTTCACAGATTCTAGAACCTTCTCCAGAGCTCGACAACGGTTATATCCAATTGGCCAACAGCATGATGGACACTTATTAGCAATCTTGGTGCAGCAGGAGGCACATGCTATGTGCCCATTCTCACACTATATATTTGTCCAGAAAGAAAAAAGAATGTCAGAATACGTTTATAGTAAGCAGTTTGAATATTTGCAGATGACAGCTTACTCCACTCTGCTTGCTTATAAATTTTAAGGTTTCTCAAAGTACACAGCTTAAGAAGTAGGGAAAAAGAAAAATGTGTTACATAGAAAGCATAAACAAATTGCACTTAAATTCACTATTGAGCTATAAACCTACAGCTAAGGCTTTAATTTCTTGCTTGGTCAAAAAGGTATCCACTTTCACATCACTACATAGCCTTTCATATTAGCATTTGTCACATCCACTTTCACTTCACTACTTAGCCTTTCATATTAGCATTTGTCACATCCCTAGAGTCCTGTTCTTCATCATTTCTTGCTTAGTTCAAAACACTCAACAGCTTCATTTAAACATGCTCATGCATTTAAATGTCATATTTTGTTGTAATAACAACAAATTGATTACCAATAGCTATATTCTACTTAAAGTATCATTGTGGCTGTTCTGCAACTCTTAGATGAGAAAAGACACAAATTAAACACCCTGGCAAGGAGAAGAATGTAGATCTTAAGATCTGAATCTCAGTTGTCTATGCCTATATATGCAGTGACAAGATTAAATCTGAAGTTACTGTGAGCTAAAACCAAGAGTTCTAAAAAGAGGCCTAGGTACATAACTTCTATCACGATAGATCTCAAACAAAGGAATAGTGTACAGTTAATAACTTCTATTACGATAGATCTCCAAAAAAGGAATAGTACACAGTTAATGACTTCTATCAGATAGATCTCCAACAAAGGAATAGAATTCAGTTAATAACTTTTATCACGATAGATCTCCAACAGAAGAATAGTACACAGTTAATAACTTCTATCACGATGGATCTCCAAAAAAGGAATAGCATACAGTTAATGACTTATATCAGATAGATCTCCAACAAAGGAATAGTAAACAGTTAATAATTTCTATCATTGATGATACCCTAATCTTTTGTTGGGCAGAGACTCTCCAAGTTCTATATCTCAATCTAACTCTCATGCTATTTGAAGTTGTCTCTGGACTACATATTAACATGATGAAGAGCAAGATCTACCCTGTCAAAGAAGTCTAAAATTTGAATACCCTGCACGGAACTCTGGGGTATGATACATGGTCTTTCCACTCTACCTATTCCGGTCTCCCTTTGGGTGCAAAATACAAAGCACCAGAGATATGGAACGGAGTGGTGGAAAAGGTGGAGAAGAGGCTGGCAAACTAGAACATGCAATATCTTTTTATGGGAGGTGAAAGAGCAATTAATTGGTCTGAGAAGAGCATTCCTATGGGCAGGGATATCTATTTATGGGAGGTCAAAGTCATATTACCAAAAGAACATGGAGGTCTGGGTATTAGGGATTTTGCAAACACAACAATTACCTTAAGGGAAAAGAGAGCCTAATTACAAAGTAACCCATTTATAATGATACCCATTTGTAATCTCTAATCGGAATCTGGTAGCCATTTTAAGTGTCTTATTATACTCCATCGTACCCTAGTACTTCCTCTAACTTGAATATTATGCGTTAAGACTATGACTTCACCAGTAAAACAGAGACCTACACTAGCCAGTTATTCTCCAATTTGAATGAAATTTTATAACTTCAGAGTTCAAACCACATGAAATGGGATAAACACCTAAAGCAGTCATTCCTCTGTCAGCAATTCTCCCAACTAAACTCTTTAACAGATCCACATTTCCTATGCACTTTCAATGCAATACTGAATGCCATGTAATCATGTCTCTATTATCTGACGTTTCTGCTTAACTTCTGTATTTTATTTCTTAAAACCACCTCCACGAGGTAGGCTAAAGTCTGCATAAACACTATCCTCCCAAACCCCACCTGTTGGACTAACAAAAAAGGCAACTTCTACACCTCCTTAAGAGCAATAAACTATATAAATGTCAATCAAGAATTCTCCAAACACAATTGATTCCAACATATATACGCAGATAAATTCTTACAAATAATAGCAAATGAACAGGGTCAAAAGAAGAAACCTGAAAGACAGGAACAGAGAGATGTTCAAGGCAGATTGGGCAATCCAACACATCAGGATCCGATAACATCACAGAAATTGACCCGTTTCCTCTTGAACCCTCCAAATTCTGATCTGGGTCCTCCCCAGAAATGGCCCTGTTCTCTCTTGCAACCTCCGATTCACGAACTGGCAACCTCCGATCACCGCTCAATCGGAAATTTCCCTCAGATTCCGATTCCGATTCCCAATCCTCCTCTTCCTCCTCCTCCTCCTCCTCCTCTTCCTCAACAACCCTTTCTCTCTCCCTTTCCCTTTCTCTTTCTCTTTCTTCTTCTTCTTCTTGTTGACGGATAACGACGCTACAAGAGAAAGTTCCGGCGGTAGTTCTACGTCTCTTGGGTTCAGGCCTTCTTGTGGGGTTACTGGGTCCTTCATCATTATCATCTTCTTCTCTTCCAACTGAAAATCTCGCCATTTCTTCTTCTTCTTCGCTACTAGATGAATGGTTCACTCTTATCATGGTCAAAATTCGGTTTTTGTAAATATTATTTCAATATTTTATTATATTATTATTATTATCATATTATTTATAGTGTATTATAAAAAATTACTTATGGAAAAATATTTATGTTTTTCCAAAACTTGCTAACAAAATCGAATTTAGTCAAATATTATGAGATCTCAATTTTAAATATTGTCTTGAAAAATGTGTTTGACTATTTAGCATATGTACATTTTATTTTTTTCATCAATTTGTGAATTTAAACGATGTTTAATTAGAAATCTATTTAAATTAATGTATTTTAAATGTTTTTTAAGTAAAAATAAGTTGTAAGTACTTTTAAAATGTTTAGGTGAATTAACAAAATGAGCAATTAGATTAGATTACTAATTGTGATTTATCAAGAAATTTATTTAATGATTAGCTTTCTTTGAATATATGTATTTCCCATTATTAGTATGTTGAACTTAAACGGCATTTGATTAAGTATAATAGAGTATGTTTGAACTGATTCATTTAAAGTATTTGTAAGTAAATTAATTTTAAGTATTTTTAAAATATTTGGGTAAATTAAAAAGTATTTAGAGATTACTTTTTTTTCTTCTTGATTATTGTTTATCAAGATATTTATCTAACGATTAATTTTATTTTAATTTGTTTTTTATTTTCCTTATTAGTATGTTCAACTTATGGGTTGTTTAACCTATAAGTTTATTTATTTTTTGTAAGAACTTCTGTTAAAAATAGCTTTTTAGAAAATAGTTTTACAAATAATAACATTTGTATTTGAATAATTTATTTAAAAGATACTTTTGTTTAGAAGTAAATTGTTTTGACAATGTTTCAATGTTTTTAGTTGAAGAAATGTGTACTAATTTTATTTATCTCTAAGACAAACTATTTGTTATTAATTTTAGTAATTTTCTCCAACATAACTGTTTACTTTTTTTAAAAAAAAAGGAAAAGGGTAAAAAAAAAAAAAAAAGCTCTAAACTATGTGAAATGAATAAAAATGTCCTCCGTTTATAGTTTGCTCAAAATGTTCTTATCATCAATAATATGGCTCAAAAATGATTTTGCAGTCAATATGTCACGATCCGAGAGTATACCCTAGAAGGAATGATATTCTCAAGCCACCACACGGCGTATTCAACCTCTTGAAGGTCTTATACAGACCCTTTGACATCATTCATCATATATGTATATATGAAAGGTAATGCAGAATTAATACTTTTCAAAACAATCAAATAATACTTCAAAATCTCTTTTATAAACAATCATAGAAAAGACTAAGTCTCATAGTTGTCATCTTAGACACGTGAATATCTTGGGTCACGGCCCATATATCAATATAATAGAAATAACAAAGTCTAATACAATGTCTTTAACAAGAAAAGCTAAACATAGTTATGTCCTCGAATCAATTGAGGACATACCACAACTTGCTTGAATGGATACTAATGTCCAAGCTTCACTTCAAGGACCCCTCTCAATTGTCACCTACACCTTTAGAGATAAGACAAAATATATGGAATTAGTACATTAGAATGCACTAAGTATGGTGACATGAAATTAAAACCATGCTAAAAGAACATTTGTAAAAACAGGCTCTTTTTGGAGAAAACTCATAACATAAGTATAGGAAACCACATCAAGTCACCATAAACACATGTACGTCACATTCCAAGTTGTCACGGTCGGGGAGCACCCCCTATACGTAACTGTCGTCGTCGTTCCGTAGAGAACTAAGACTAGCCTCTTAACATTCATCATTACATTTTATAGTGGGGAAAAAAATTGAAACTTAATACATATTGAGGTATACATAGACCTGTCGCTTACTTTGGATATATACATATAGAATTTACTTAAACTCCTCAAATAGAAAGCTTATATAGGCTTTTCGATTAGTTAACATATACAACATATAAGGAGTTAGTCTAATAATACCGCCTCACATTAAACCATCTAAACGAAGTACAATATTTGGGCATAGCCCTTACACAAGTACATATTGCCACTTAGGGCTTACAACAATTTTCTTTAAGTATAAGGAAGCAACAAATGTCTTTAAACAATATCAACACTACTAGGATAGATCAAAGTCACCATCCTTGAACTTTGAAGGCTCACCACTACTTGGAGGAAGAAGTTCAAGTATCCTTGCAAAATGACCTAAAAGCTCTTTAATGGCCGGAACTTACAATATTGGGGGGAAAGGGGAAGAAATATGGGTTAGTACAAAACATATGTACTAAGTATGGTTCCTATGCATAAAATCATCAATGCATGAGAAAAGACACAATTTAGTCAAAATCATACTTTATGTTCAATAACTCAACATGCACATATTTGAAATTTTATAAGTCAACCCAACATGATATTAACCCAATACATAAGCAACTCAAAGCAATACTTGTGCAATGCCAAGAATAGAACCCCATAACCTTATCCAAAGCTAAGCATTCACTTGAAGTCACTTATTACGTACATACAACATAATCTCATAACTTATCATAACGTGCTTGATTCATAAGTTCATATATAACTTGACATGCATAACATATAGATTACTTAATCATACAACCCACTACTAGAATCATCTCTTAGGATCTCACATGTTCAATGAGTAAGAGAAGTTTCATACCCTCCCTTACCCTATGTAGTAACCTTCAAGACAACTCTAAAAATAGTTACATACTTGACTTATTCATTTATCTTATTACATTAGTAAAAAATAGTGCAATAACCGACATGAGACTATGTGAGCTACATGGAATCTGGTGTTCTCCTCCCACACCGAAAAAAGAGGGTTAAAACTTGCCTACGGTGTAACCAATTTACATAGCTATTGAGGTGGATCCACTAAGCTATAGTTTTATATGGGCACATAGTTAAGGGTTAAGGAGATTATTACTAGAAACTTTGACTTACTAACGTGGAGGTTTCCATATCATGAGACAACACATATTTTGAGAATCCAGACTTACTAAACGTGAAGAAATCCATGTGGGAGGCCAGACTTACTAAACGTGAGACCTCCATCTCATTTACATGCTCTTTTGGTACTAAACATATATTCCCTTTTGTAATCATCATACCTTTCATACAAGATCACATTAGTCTCTTCTAAATCCCTATGTGAACAATTCATCATCATGGCTTATAGATATTCATAAGTGAGAACTATCCTTTCACTTTAGAAAACCATATACAAGTGAGTAAACCTTTAACTCAAAACTTTATCATAATCATGAGAAGTTATTTTCAATCATATAATAATCATGTCAGAACATACTTGCATACTTCATAATCAATTCAATAGTCTAAGTTAAGGATGAGGTATACTTGCTATCAACATTACAACCACACATTAGACATAGAAGCATTGCAATCAAAGTAAATCATACTCTATAATCGAGTTCAAGAAGAATCAATCTTCATACCTTATTGCCCTCTCATTGCCTTCATACTTCAATTACCAATAATTACATAACCAATTGTCATAACAAGGTAAATCCAAGAAGTAATACATAGCAATTACTATTTTACACCTTCACCCAACCATCCTGCACATCTGTAGGTAAGTTTAGGGACTTGTCATTTTGGCCACTTTTGGAAAGTGTCTAAGTGTTCAACGACGAAGGCATCGATGACTCATCGTCCCACCTACGCCTCGTCACCTGAAATCGTAAGTAGCTTCTACTTCATTTTTCAAAATTGGATCAAATGCAAGGAACCTCTCCAAGGACCCTTAGGGTAGTCCTTGAAGAGTCGTACCCACATGTTTTTGTAAGACCCCAATGATGACCTAGGTTAACTAGAGACTAACATGTTGGTCTTGATGGTCTAAGGTCCTAAATATGTCTAATATATGGTATAGAGCAGTATCTAAAATATTAGGTGGGTTGGAAGTCAAACGTCAAGGGACGACTAAGACGTTTGACGACTAAGTCACCTAAATGTCTCTTATGTGGTTCTATGTGACTATGTGTGTTTCATGAGGTTGTAAGGTCCTTAAATGAGTTAATATATCACATATAGGCAGTATTTAAAGTTTTGTGAAGTTTGGAGGTCAAACGACCAAGAACGTCCATGACGTTCAAAGATATGCCTTGAAGTGACCTTGTGCGCCTAGGCGTGTTTCACTGAGTTTTACGTGTTCGTTTTGGATGAAATTCAGGCGAGAGGTGTTAAACTTATAGACGATTATATTTGGGTTGGAAATGTTGGGGAAATTATCCCCAAGGACCATCTAAGGGTCCTTGAGAAAGGACAAAAAACTGTTGTCAAAACAGTCCTAGGCAGGCCCCAGACGACGAAGCAGTCGACGGATCGTAGGCCTATCCGTCGAAGGGTGTCGTCATGTGGAAATTGGACATGGGTGAAGAGTAAAGCCTTGGAAGGCTACTGTAACCACTGACGGCCCGTCGTGGTGGTGACGCCCCATCAAGGGCAGGCGTCAAGCGACCTTTCTTCCTTCGCAGGCTGCTGCCAAGTTAGTGGTGAATTGGTATATTCACCCCACTTCTAAATTAAGTCATTGGCGGTTCATTAAGGGTCTTTCGGGTATTTTATATAAGTATATAAAGGGTAAACACCTTAAATACTTCATTTCTTCCAAATTGAAAACCCAAAACTCTTAGAAAAATCTCAAAGACTCCATTGAAGTCCAAATTGAAGAAGCTGCTTGGACATGTGAAGAGGGGGTGAGAGGTTGATTGTTGGGGGTACGCAGAGGGATAGAGATAGGCTGAAAAAGTATTGAAGAGAGTTGATTAGACAAGATATGACACGATTTCACATTACTGAGGACATGATAGTAAAGAGTGGAGATTGTGTATTACGCTAAGAATGTTAAATAGGGGTTGAATGTTGTCTGCTTTGTGAAGGTTTAGGCTTGTTAGTATCTGTCGTAGTATTAGTCATACTCTTGTAGTCCTTATCATATATACTTTGTTATTGTTTTATTCATGTAAACTTTACATGTTTTTTTATTAACTGTTATGTTTTCTTCTACTTTTACTTGGTTTGATACA